TGGTTATCTCTGAAATGTCTCTGATGTACAGTAGAGTGACTAGTGTATCTGGCCGTGTTAGGTCTTGTTGTGCTTTTTGGGTATCCATTCTTTTTAAAAACTCCATATAAATGCTCCTGTTTTGCTTTGCATAATTCTGGGTTGCTGCAGTGAGTTGTGGCTCTTTTAAATAATGTCCTGATGTGGCTCTGTTTATGGGTATTGAGGTGATTGCTACTTCTGTGCTGTATCATTGTATGATTCTAGGTAAAAGAAAGACCTTTCTTTGGTTTAAGCAAGCTGTGGAACAGTTTCAGGACACTAAAGGTTAAGACACAGGACAAATTAAGGACTTCTTTTTCATTTGCACTCTAAGCAATAAATCATCAAAGTAATTCTTAAATGCTATTTCAAAACACATCAACATTTCTTCACACACAATGTCAAACAAAAGGTGATTGTCACAGACCTACAGCAGGAACAACATCCCTTTATTAACTAACAATAGTCTTCTGCTGGATAGATTCTTTTTGATAGTGCCAAGCATCAGAAATCAATTCTAATGACTTCAAATTGACTACTCTTCATGCAGACTGCACAAAATAAATTCCCAAAATGATGAAATTAGTGCACTGATCATTTTGCCAATTATGACTCTGACAGTTGAGCTTTCTAATGTAATGCAGGTTCTTTTAGATCTTGGGAACAGTGCTACATGCAGAATTGTAGCGATCCTTCTATTTTTCGCTTCCGTTCTCTTCCTGTCAATCATACTGGCTGAATACTGAGATTGAGTACCTACCAGCTTCCAGTTACCTTGACCATACATCCTCACACCTGCTTCCTGTAAGGAACTCGATCCCATTCTTCCAGATTCTCCATCTCCATTGCATCTGTTCCAATGATCCCATCTTCGACAGGGGCCAGGGGTGGGGTGCCACAGAAATTTCCACCTTTTTCCTTAATCAAGGATTCCCCGCTACCATAGCTGACAGGGCTCTTAGCCATATCTGACCCGTTTCCCGCAATCTGCCCTCACCCTTTCCCTTCCATAATGAACATAGCATCACCCTGGTCCTCATTTTCCATCCGATCAGCATCCATATCCAAAGGATCGTAAGCTGCCATTTCCACCACCTCCGGCAGGATGTTACCACCAGATACATGTTGTCCTTCTATCTCTCGCCAGCCTAACACAGGGACTGTTCCCCATGGGCTACCCCTGTCTACTCCTCTTCCACTCCAACACCTCCACATTTTCCCAAAGCACCTTTCCATGTAACCGCAGGTGTAACACCTGCCCATTTACTTCCTCCAGCCTCACTATCCAAGGCCACAGACAATACTTCCAGGTGAAACAGTGCTTTACCTGCACTTCACTCAATCTAATCCACTGTTATCGCTGCTCACAGTCTGATCTCCTCTACACTGGGGCGGTGAAACACAGACTAAGTGACCACTTTGCCAAACACCTACATTCTGCCTGAATTTCCAGTTGCCTGCCATTTTGACACCACCACCGTGTTCCCCTGCCAACAATTTTGTCTCAGGCTTTCTGCATTGCTCCAGCAAGACTCAATGCAAGCTGGGAGAGCAACACCTCCTCTCCCACTGAGGCACCTTACAGCCTTCAGGATTCAACATCGAGTTTAGTAATTTCATAATGTGAACACCCTCTCCCTTGTCTTTTCCCTTCCCCCACATCGCTAGGTCCTGTCCTGAATGGGTTGTTCCTTGCACAGCAAATGCATTTTCAAACATCATATGTCTCGTTAGCACCTTACCTAGCTAATCTCTCTCTCAGCACATCATTAACAATCTCTTTGCTTGCCCATCCTCCACTCTCTCTCTCTCTCTCTCTCCCCCTCCCCCCCACCCAGTCATCAGCATAAATACCACCCTTCCCCAGTTATCTTCAGTTCTGACAAAGGGTCACGGGACTCAAATTGTCAACTTTGTTTTCTCTCCACAGATGCTCCCAAACCAGTCATGTTTCTCCAGCACAATCTGTTTTTGTTGTAACTGAGATTGAAGACATCCTTTAAGGGTTTGGGCTGGGCCTCGATGTCCCCAGCCCAGCTGAAGATGCAGTCTTTAACTGAGGAAGGTTAGCAGGAGAGAATTGGATTCATGAATAAAAATGCAGATGCACAAACACAATAGAACAGATGTGATATCTTCTGTCAACACGAGGATATTAGCAGGCTGCTGTTCCACTGGTTGTATTAATAATTAATAAGCAACACTTCAGATATCAAAGATAACACAATGTGGATCTAGAGGAGCAGGAAAGCTGACGTTTCCGGTCGGGATCCTTCTTCAGAAAAAAATTTCTGAAGGGTCCCGACCCGAAACATCAGCCTTCTTGCTCCTCTGATGCTGCCTGGTCAGCTGCGTTCCTCCAGCTCCACACTGTTTTATCTTGGACTCCAGCATCCGCAGTTCTTGCTATCTCTCACTTCAGATATCAAAGGTTGCTTTCTTAGTGAACACCCTCAAACCAATATCTAAACCAAATTCCCCAGTCCCAAGCAGAGTCATTGCTTTGTTTTGGCAAGATCATTATTTGCAAATCTCCTCTCCACACTTGTTCTTGAAGGATTCCACCCAAAATATTAACCTTTTTTTGGCTTCTCTTTTCTCAGATGCTTTTCTGACATTACACTCCCTGCAGTAATTCATGAAACTTTGGATGCAAGAAAAAATGTTACGTAAATGTCAGTGTTAGTTAAGTGTATGGTGTTGACCTTTGATTGAAATAGTTGTTACCTAAATGTAACCATTTTTCCTACATCTGACAGATTAAAAGCACTTCTTGGCTGTTTTCCTTCATTTTAAATACGGACACTATAGACGGTATATGAACAGCCCTGAACCCTCTGGTAATACTAAGTACTGACTCACAAGGTGCATTTTTCCTTAATGTTGCTGGAGGGTGGGTAGGGGGAAAAGACGAAAGAATGACAGGTATTGACAACCAGTAACTCTCTTGCAACAGAAACAGCAACTAGACTGCATTTTGTTTCAACTACGTGCAAGTTCTTGCTGAGCCTTCAGGTTTTCCCTGACTGTAAGGTTGTTATTTTGTCTGTACATAGGCTTTTCTGTCTAGATTTAGGCATCTTGATCAGCCTGTTGTATGGTTGCTTTGTCTGTAATTTGCTTGCTCTGCCTCTAAGAGTTCTGTGCAACCAGTTGGTTAAGGGGCTGTGTGGGATTTTCTCTCTTTCTGGACTATGCTAGCTCTGCTGTTCAGGCCTTGTTTGCTGATGCTGCCACCACTTTTTCCACCACACAGAAGAGACAGCACTGTTGGCCTACCAAGCTATAGTGCAGGCTGGAAAATCATTACCATAACAGCAGTAATTTGCTTCACTCCCAGCAAGGGTCATAGCCATGAAGAAAATAGAATCAGAGTCCCTACATCATGGAACCAGGCCATTTGGCCAGAGTCCAAACCAACCCTCCAAAGAGCATCCCACCCAGACCCACCCCCTATCTTATCCCTGCATTTCCCACCCTGAACACTATGGGCAATTTAGCACGGCCAATCCACCTAACCTGCACATTTTTGGACTGTGGGAGGAAACCAGAACAGGCGGAGGAAAACCACACAGACACGGGGAGAATATGCAAAGTCCACACAAACAGTTGCTCGAGGCTGGAATCAAATCCGGGTCCCTGGCGCTGAGACAGCAGTGCTAACCACCGAGCTACCATATCGCTAAGTGAGAGAACTATGCTTTAATATAAGATTCAGTGAAGAGAGCACATTAAGGCAGGTGATTAAATTACCTAAGGGATGCTGCAAGTTTTACAAATACACAACTCAGAACTGTTCACAGATGTCACTAATGTTACTGTACTTAAGAAAGGTCATTGACTTGTGGTTCCTTCTCCCTCTGAACTGTTAATGATGAAAACAGAAACACAGGTGTACTGCCACGAGGCAAGGTAGATCAAGTGGACTGTGATAAAGGACAGGATGAAGTACTTATGAGAGAAGAATACACCTACAGGAAGGAGGGAGAAATAAAATCTAAGGTTGAATAGGGAAAAGAATTGGAGGCAGCCTATTGCAGCTGAAGGATCTATCACTCAATCACCAGTGTCCGAGAGCTTGCACGATCATCTTTAAAAATCAGACAGGAATTTTGCAGATCTTTCCCCTAAGCTAGTTCAAGGGTATTTTTAAAAAAATCTTAGTTAATTGCTATGAGAATAGGCACTCAAATGAAGTTTGCTGAATGGACAAATTTGACACCAGTAGAGCGAGCGAGGGTGCCCAGTAAGTAGGTGAAGAACCTGGCAAGGTTAGGTAGATGGAGGTCTTGTCAATCCTAATGCCATCAATGCCTTTGCCCAGTATTGCTCAAACACCAACTGAAGCAGCAGTTAGATGGTCATTTGAAGTATCATTGCATACAAGGCTGTGGACTAAGTACTGCAAGACGGGATTAGAGTAGATAGGCACATGATGACCAGTGCAGACAGGAGGGATCGGAGGGATGGTTCCATGCTGTAATACTGTTATTCTATAACTAATTTAACAGCCAGACAAACTGCTTTACCAGTAGGAAAGAGTAGTGAGAGGCAGCAAAAGGATGAAGCTCAGATGCCAAGGAGATGCTGTTTACCATCACTGAGGAGCCAGTGGAAGGGGAAGTTAACAAGTCCGTGATGAGAAAGGGGGAGCCTGTTAAAATGTCTGTGATTGAGGTAGAGTTGGTGAGACCAAAGGTTTCTACAAGAGGCCTAGAGGGACTGCTCCTGCCCTAAAACTGCTCTTCCTCATGAGCTGCTGTTGCCTAGTAGCAAACAGTGCGTGACTGCGTGTTGAGCCTAAACTAAGTCACAACTTTGATGGCATCAATGTTCTTCATTCTCTTGGCATATGTATGACAAATGAACATTTGGGTGAGATACTGTGGCCTGAGGATTACTGTCAAAGCACAGGTAGCACTTGAGGATGGGGAAAAATTACAAAACAAAACAAACAAAAAATGAAAGACACAGAGTCATTGTTTAAAAAATGTTTTTTTTTAATTTTGTGTACATTGGCAAGGAAAAAAAACTGCACTGGCATAACAGCCTCTGAACTGGCACACCATATAATCTCAGAGCTAATCCCAATCATATTTAACACACACGCTCAGCAAGACAGCTAGTCAGCAAAATAAAAATTATACAGTGTCAAAACATTGCAATATTGAATTAAAACACAAAAGGTGAAGTAAATGGCACCATTTCAGCCAAGATTACTGGACCTCACATGTAATCAATACATGACCCACTATGCTTCCCATGCAGTGGAAAAGGCAGAACAGTATGTGTGTTGCTATACAAGGCAAGGCACACATACCAGCTGTGTTATAATTACTGTGTCAATGAATTAAAACAGCAATATAAACAAAAGTTTACAGGTTTTGTTACATGAGGGGAACCAGAACATTCGGTGCCTATTGCACACAATTTGAAATAAAGCACCAAGAAACAGAAGAGTTGCGGTGACACTTAAGGGATGATGAGAGGTGGAGGTGAGACTGTTGCTGTACATACAGAAACCAATCCATACTTAGGGGCATGCCACTTTGTCAGATCTAATGTGCAATGCCACCATGCGAGTTTCTCTCAGTGAAGGAGAATAAAAAATAAAATCCTTTTCTGGGAATAACTGAACCGTGACTTTACACCAACCTGTTGCTATACCACAAATAGAGCAACAGCTAGATATCCTCTCGTAGTTCATGACTTTGCACGTGTATTACCACGCAAAATCAAAAGCAATTGAAAAATCAAAACAAGCTGTGTAACTGGCTTAAGTAAATCACTAGAGCAAAGGCCAAGCAGTTTATTAACATGCCCTCAACCTCTAGCAGGATCATGGTGCAGAGTCTGTTACCATGCATACAAGCCAAAAATTGGGTGATTATTTCCCTTTCCACTCTATTTCTTGGATGTGTAGTTCTGATTTTAAGTGGCATATAGCCCTATACTGCAGCTAGCAAAAGAAACAAAGCTCTGATCTCTTGGCCTAATCATTAATGCAGTTCTATGGAGATCAGTTGTATCACTGCCAGCCTGTTGACACAAACCAGGACCTGAAAGTGGACTAAGCTACTGTTAGAGCACAGTAATGCATTTGCTAAGCCATTAAAAGTACCCCTTGCCAACCTTTAATGATAAGAAAATTAAACTTCTGGAGACTCCAACTTTAAAAAAAAAAGGCAGAAAAATTGGGCTGACAGCAGCTGACTGTATTCATGCGAGCGTGACATTTGAGGAAGGGTGGAAAGGCCCCTTTGAGAGACCAACAGTCAACTTGTGTAGGTCTCTTTGATGTGCTTATGATGGAAACAAAAAAAACATTAAATGCCCACGAATCAACTGACATGAACTGGTTTTGGACCAGACATTGATGGGTCAGTCAATATTTGATAGTTCAACAAAATTCATTTAACTCTTGTTGGATTTCAATAATTTGACCTCATGATGGCTTCGAATTGGAGACTGCCCCACTATTTATCAGTGTTGGAAACAGCCAGATGGTGAACATACAATACCTAAACCAAGTATCTTCTCTCTGCAGCAAATCACTTCTTCCCTCTTCCTGGTTCAATCAGGCATAACACAATGAAAAATATCTTTAACAGATACATCCAAATCTTAGACCAATATCTATCCAACTCCTGTATATCCTATTAATAGGTTAAAAGGGACTTGGAAAGAATATGCCAATAAAGGAAGATTTTCAAGTCCAATTCACTATTTTTCGAAGTTAACAGCAATTTGAAGGCACTCAGTCATCTATCTGTTCAACTGGAAATGCACAATAAATTTCATTCATAGGACATTTCTTAGGGAGTAAGCATTTGAATTATCTAAATTTTCACATGTTCTGTTCACATCAATACATGACAGGCTATAATATAATGCCTCTATCAAGGAATCATTTTTTTCACTTCAGGAAGGTTAGCAACATTTCAGAAAATAATTAGCAATATTAAAAGAATACTCATCAACTGTTGATGAGCAATCATTTAAAGCATGATTTTGATTAGAAAATATTTAAAGGCTCTGGAAATAGATGTATGGAAATAGTGTTTTCCTGGAAAATGCAAAGCATTTGTTTAAAATTTGGCTGTTTTTCAGTCTTGAACCCAACAAAAATACTGAACATAATTTTCCTGTATAATGCTACAAATGAAGGACAATCTCCTGGGGCAATGAAAAATTCTCTACTTTCACATGGGTTACTTAGAGATGAACTTTAGCAAGTGAGTCAAACCACTGAAACAAATGCACAAAGCATGCGAATGAAGCATTCAGCTGAGTCTCCTTTATGTACTGATCGATCTGCTGTGCAGTTATTTGCCATTCTGATGGTGTAACATTGAAGCAAACAATTTCTTTGATAAAAAAGTAAGACGGAATCTTAAACTGGTGTGAATGACATGGGCTACGGTGAGCGATACTGAGGGGCTGTGACCAGTACCGGGATCTCAGTCACAGGCATAGTCTATACATATTCCAGGGACTTGGTCATGGTCAGTCATCTACTTAGGCCAGTCACAGTCAGGGGAGATGTCTGACTGTAGTTGCGGACTGGGCAATGGTCAGTCCTATAAGGCCATCAGCGGTAGCCAGGGGAATCATACATCATCAGTTGGGGAGCTGCAAAGACAGCGATCATGAGTTTGGTCAGTTATGTCTACGGTTGTTCATAAAAGTCTGTCAGGGATCTGGTGTAAACATACTCAAGGGGTCCGTGTACTCATCAGTGAGGAAGATACAAGGAGGGGCTGTAGGGCAAACGGAGTCACCTTGACAGAAAGGGTGGGGCAGTCGAGGTTGACGAGGGAAGCAGAGGCATTTAGACAGGGCGGACAAAAACGATGATTGGGGGGGGGGGGCAGATGTCAAGGTACAAGGGGTTACTGTCAGCATCCACCATTTTTGCCTTTACAGGGGGATGATAGAGGGCCACAGTGGGCAAAGGTGAGGTGTAATATCGGTGCTTAGGAGGAATGTTGGGGGCAAAGTTCAATGTGGTGAATCTCCACCTATTGGGGCGGGGGGGGGGAAAAGAGGGGGAACAAGACGAAGAGGAGAAGGGTGAAAATGGGATGCAGTGGTAATGCAAGGTAAAAAGGGTATGGAGGCACTGGGAGGGTTACTTGGTAATCAGGTAGGACCTGACACTAAACATTTCCACCCTGACCTGTGTTCCCTGTCATCACTTGCTGTTCATTAAATATTAAACGCAACCGGAAAATGGCTGGGACAACACCTGGGGGAGTCTGTCAGTCATCAGACTGATGGGTGGAAACACAGGATTCACATCTGGATGCCAGAATATGGAAGAGACAAACACAAAGCCTAGGAGTCAGAACACAGCAGCTACTCCCTTTATGACGTTCTGTGTGTTGGTACTCAGCTGAAGTGGTACATTTACCCAACTGGTGCACATGCTGAGGCTCAGCTGCATGTATGATGGATTTCTCAGCCACACGTCCACAAATGTATCAGGAAAGTGACCAATGTCATCTGTGCAAGATCACACCAGTTCATTTTGCTTCCCAATAATGAGGTCAGTACTGCATCCTGGGTACTGCTGGGTGCCAATGTGGGCATACATGGCACTGAAATGGCCATACCACAACACTGTGGAATTCATCAACAGGAACGGTTTCATTTGGATTAATCAATGATTACTGTTACCATTTCCTGGAGGTGTGCTCACTGGCAGCTTCCACAACTCCTACATACTGCAGCCCTCATTTACCCACTGCATTCTAGGGTGCAAGGGCCCTACAAGGACTACTGGGAGAACAGGGCTACCCACTGTGCCACACCTCATGACACCATTGCAACATGTCCAATTGATGAGGTATGCAGATATAATGCCACCCAAGTTTCGATTAGGGTCAGTGGAGCACACTGAAGGTTGCTGAAGATGGAGTTCTGCTGCTTAGATTTGTCTGAGGCAGCCTCCAGTATAGTCCAGACAGACTGCACAACTGAAGCAGTCAATGAGCCAATGTGCTGGATGCTGAGGAACTGGGGAAATGGGAGCAGTCTTTAGAACACGAGAAGCACAATAACATTGTGGATGAGGAAGCTCTCCTTGTACATGACAGAGCTCAGCTGCAATGGGCGCTGTAAGCCAAATGGGACTGGATTTACACCCAGTTCCAGTCGACAAGAGCTGGTTGTAGCAAACACAGTCATGGAATGTGAAATAGTCATTGGTCATCAGACTGGCATTTTAGTTTGTGAGGGCATCCTACAGCCTGTATTCATTTTGTTTGTGTTCGCTTTTGCTGGTTGTAAATTAAACTCATCTTTGGAATTGTCCTATTGCTTACCTGTATGTGGTGATCCCCAATGGAACAATGAGAAGTTTTGGGTCTAAAGTGGTCACTGGGGGCGGACTAGAAGTGACTTGAGAGGATATTTAGACAGGATATAACTAAGGACAGGTTAACTGAGTGGACTGGTGATAAAACAACTGGTATGAGAGGGGAATGTAGCTTCACCAGCATGGTTTTGTGCATGTTGCGCAATGGCCTTTCAAAGATATTGCAGGGGCTAGGGATGCCAGTGTTTTGGTTGATACCCACTGAGTATTCATTTGTTCTGGGAATAGTGAGTGGCAGTTAAACTAGGATCAGGCAAAAGTGGCATCATAGGAGGGGGAGTAGCAAAATGAATTTGGGACAATACAACAACAAGTCCTCCTAGGACGTCGTGAAACTTTACAATAGTAGCACTTAGCCAAAAAACGTAAGATTCAAACCATAATCTTTAGCTATCTTACTTAGGTATGCACAAGTCACACAACCCAATGTCCAATTAATTCAAACTCTTCAGTAAACAAAAACTCTTAGAAAAAAAAGAGTATTAATAGTACCTTCCACTCTTGCCATCATATGTTAACCGCTTGTCCAGAAACTATCAGTAAACAGATTAGTCCGTTCCTGCCAATTTTTACAGGTCACATTTGCATTCATCAACAAGACATTTTGGGCCAATTTTAGGCTAATTCACCTACTGGTAAGCCTGGAGGGTTGTTAGAATAACACTTTTATACCCTGCTTGATACTGCTCTCCGCTGACTCAAGAGTCAAATTGGACCTTTTTGAAATTGCAAAACCAGCATCACACCCAAATCAGAGTTTGTTATTGTAGTGATTTTGCCTTCAAAAATCCTTCTTCCCTTCCTTCTTCTCTATGAATTTTGTTATGGCACCTACATTAGAGCAACCATTGAGAAACACTGCAAATCTGTTCCATCATACTTCCTATTCTGAATACACATTAAAACAAGGGACACAAAAATATAGAATTCATTTCCTTAAAAAGAATCAATAAAAGATCTTTTACAAGTACATTTACTCCACCATTTCTCAGTAAGAAAATCAAATATTATTATTCATCTACAAGTTCATTAAGTTCTTGAGTAACTAGAAAATTTTAAGAGCTGATATAGCCATATTAGATATCTGTATAGTTTATAAAGTATAAAAAATAAGTGTCAATAATTTGCAAAGCTTCAAGTATGTTCTCAATGTAAAGCCATTTAATGAACACTCTACACAATTCCCAGAATTGATTAGCTTTAAGACCAATGAAATGATAATTTAGCAAAGATTAACTGGCAAAAACTGATTGACATTTACAATGACCAGGCTGTCCCATCTGAACATTTCAGTGTGACAAGCCGGTGGGTCAGCAACATTTACATTAAAATTCATATGCATGTCCTATCATTAAAAGTATGCTCAATATCTATCTAGAATTTTAAGAAGCTGTGTGTTTGGTAAATTGAATTAATTTAAGTATTAAATGATGAAATTGGGAATTAAACCATAAAAAAGACAATTACTTTTACTTTTCAAAGTCATGAAAGCGTCGGCCTACAAGTTCAAAAGGAGCTATGCCTGTTTAACTCTCATAAAATGACAGAGGGTCATACTGATTAGGAATCTTGCTTGGGCATCCAAAGTGCGCACCTAAAATTGATATTAGGCCCTTTGCATAGGCCTTCTTTGCAGAATTAATTATGCAGGACCATAGCATGTGACGTGAATACTGCAGTTACTTTGGGTACTTAGTAAGCAAACCAATTCCTTCAAGGGATTTTGGAAATGCTCTTCTTAGCTCATCATTAAATAGGTGGGCTGCAGTCTGCCCCTGCATAACTCAAGGGCTTTTCAGCCCTCTCCTAGGCCTTTCAAAACACTTCAACTAGCAGCAGAGCTATTTCTGCTGCTGACATCCCTACCTCAAACAGAAGCCAACTAGTTTACTAATTTATTTATTTCACTAATTTACCACGTTTTGCCACCTGTCCTTTTAGGTGCAAATACTGCACCCCAATTCAGACACAATCCAATTTCTTGACCATTGACTGTTCTGTGAGGATGCTAACTGGCAGGTGTTTAGTTGCCTTCTGGTATCCAAAGAAGTGGTTTATAATTTCTTATGTGAAGACTGATGTGGAACAATGTAGATTATTTGACTGTCGGGACATAACTGAGTGTTCCTGCACTCAAACTTCATCCAATTGCATTCAAGGATGGACTGTCCTAAAGCCAATGGTATGGGACCTGTAAATGATTTCTTCGCCCAAACACAACGATATTAAAGCCAATTACAGGATCTCTGATACAGTAAGTTAACTTAACATAGCAAGGCAAACGGACACAATCTTTCTGGCTCAACTACCTGTGAGACTTGCTGAGCCATCTTACAGCTAATGACTGTAACACATTAAGAAGCAAAGTGTTTATGAAGTTGACTCCAAAAAAGGACCCAACTGTATCGTAAATAACAATCCTACTACCATCCTCGTTGAGATTAGCTAACTCTGCACAGATCAGATATTGAGCCTGAGATCTTCCCAGTCCATATGGCTCAGTTTGGCACAAGGCAGTGCATTTATTAACCAAGTAACTAAAGGAGCTATGCAGTCTTTCTCTATATCACACAATTCTACTAAAAGTACAGAATTTCAATGGTACGAGATTGTATTATTCCTGACAATACAGATTTCAATAAATGTGTATGTCTTTTTTAAAAAATATCTTGTACAGTTTTGACAGTAACATTAGATTTATAAAGTGTGCTTAAAAACATGGACTTTTCTTCATTACAGGCCATTTTTTGTTGACATAACTATGTTATAACACTGTTACAGTACGTGGAGCAACCATTTCTGAAGTCTGTTTTTAAGAAAAAGCAGCACAGCATTGACAACTCCTCACAGATTGTACCCAGTCAGTGATTTCCTGATGTAGGTCTCAAAATGAAAGGCACACAAATTCAGCAGGTATCTCAAAACTCATTAACAATGCTTATTAAACACGAGCAACATGAGTAGCCCAGCTTGGCAAAATAAAATGGCACATGCAATAAGAGTAATGTAGTTGGAATTGCTCATTCCCAGTCAGCTCCAAATTTTTATCAAATTCCTTTTATAATTTTGGTATAATCTAATTTTCAACTCCTGAAGGATGTAATTCCTGTTTGTTCCCATTGCAGTATCTTCAGAACAGGAGGAGTTGTGGTACACTTTTGTAGAGCACTACAGAGTTTGATTAAATTTTTCCTTTTACATATCTTATTGCATTTCCTCCTTAACTGACAGCCTCACTACCAATTCCCTCTGCCTCCTCCCCTTATCCTTCCACAAAACTAAGTATTTGGAAAACAGGTGCCATGTCCATACTAATGTGAGTACCAGGGAGTGTGTTTCTGTGTCACAGGAGAAGGCTGTCCTCATTTTCTATGGCATATAGAAGCAACTGGATTCCATTTAACATTTTCCCTTTCACAAATCCATTTTAAAAATGTTGGTACAATTTGAATAACCCTATGGAATAGCAAGAATGAATTCTCATTGCACCATTCTACCATGCAAAATTGAGTGCAGGCCCAGAATTTTCCCATGAAAATTATTGCCATTTCATATTTTTGAAATATTTAATTTGTCCTGACCTAGATGTTCTGATTGCAATCATCAAGAGATACTTAAATGTTTGAATACATACCTTTAAACACAAAACGACTAGAGGTGAGGGACCGATTACTAAGATCTTTCTTCAGTTACTACTTAGGATCACCAAATCAGGCACCTTTTCACAGTCAGCTATTTTAATTGCTAGTTTTCACAGTAACTGGTCTACTTTGAGATTCTTGAAAAGTTTTGAAGTGCTACACATTTAAACGCATCAGTGACACTCTGAATGATAAACCATGCAACAAAGATAAATATAATCAAGAGTATATGTTGTATCTGTCAAAAATAAGAGCTTTTTTCCTTTTTCTGTTCTTTACAACCAGGCTGTTTTCAGTTAACTATATACAAATGGTCAATACTAATCTGACCAAGAGTGGAGTAACCAAGAGTTTATGGCTGCTTGGGCTTGGATTGAATTGAGAAAATCAAACAGCATGATTAGAGACAGGGACTCAAAGACCATCTTTGGCAGCTCAGTATTTAGCAATGCTGCCTCACAGAGACCCAGGTTCAATTCCAGCCTCGGGCAACCGTCTGTGTGGAGTTTGCATATTCTATCCATGTCTGCATAGGTTTCCTGTAGTTTCCTCCCACAGTCCAAAAATGTGTGGGTTAGGTGGATTGGCCATGCTAAATTGCCTGTAGTGTTCAGGCATGTGCAAGCTGGGTGGGTTAACCATGGGTAAATATGAAGTTACGGGATGTGGTAGGGGGCTGAGTCTGGGTGGGATGATCTTTGGAGGATTGGTGTGGAGTCGATGGGCCAATGACCTCCTTTTGCACTGTAGGGGGTTCTATGATCTTATCTCCAGGCCAGGTTTACAAATGGGAGAGGATTTTCTCTTCTCCCGCTGATGGTTGGACATCTGGGCTTAGATTTGCTTTTTCAGTTACAAGTCCCAGGTTTGGATTTTACAGCTGGTGCTGGCTTGGCTTTTCAGAAAAGGTACAAACAAACACCTCAGAATCTTTTAAGTGTAGCAGAGATGTATGACTGGCATAAAGCACCTTACACAAATAGCCATAAACTCAACCGCCTCTTAAGTAACTAGGTTCACTCTTAAATAGAAATCCCATTGGATAAGTGAGAACAAAGAAGCTATCAATTTTATTTTTAAGTTCCTCAGACATCAGATAGGATCATCTCCTAAAACCTCTTTTACAAAGGAGGCAACGTCTGTTTTGTTGGCATCATGTATTTTGAAGAAGGAGTGCGCCTGTTGGAAAGAAATTTAAAAATTTACAAACAAATTCTAAAACTGGTAAATGTTACACACCGTCCAAATGCAAATGGCAGAAGAAGAGGAGAATTTCTCACCATAAGATCAATGTAGTTCATTCGATCTTTGGGGTTTTTCTTTAAACTAAAAGGTAAGGAATAGAAACAAATTCAGAATTGGATATTTCAACATTACCAACACTAAAACTTATAATGCTGTTGCTGCACACTAATAACTCCACTCATGCCTATCACAGCCCATCTCCGCAAGGATCTTTGCGCTATACATCCCTCTAATTCTAACCTCTTGCATATATGCAATTTTCATTGCCACAACCAGCTTTCAGCTGCCTGGTTCTTAAACCCTCGGATTCCCACTCTAAATCTCTCATCCTCTCCAACCTCTTCAAAACCAATAAAATGGTCAACAGTCCAAAACATCACGTGGAGGGATGCCAAGTTTTATCTGCTCCTGTGAAGCATCATGGAATTTTGCATTGTGTTGAAAAGGTGCCAATTAAATGCAAATAGTTGTCCACTTTAGTATTTAGCCTTAAAACTTAAATCAAAGTTTTGTAAAAGTTATTTCTATTGTTACTTAAAGATATGAGGATTTCTATTTACAAGGGTTGAAAGCAGTAAGGGAGACAAACTATAGGGTTTCCTCTTCATTCCCTTGGGGATACCAGCAAAATATATGTAGAGATCAAGGCAAGTGTCAGAACGCCCAAGAACATAGAACAGATGACAGATACCTTATAAAGCTAGTTAGAAACACATACTAAAAATCTTGATTAAATATCAACAGTTATCAATTCATTTTTGGGATTTATGGATGGTGATAATATTTCCATGAGGTAAATGAAAACGCCTACTTCTATGCCTAAGTTTATGTGTTTTCTAAAAGTTTCATTTATCTATAATTAAACCATACATTTGCACTCCAATAAATTTGGAAAGCTTGAAATATAACTGATTGTACACCTTTGAGAACCTTACTGTGGGAGGCCTGCAAGATGGCAGCGGAGTAGGATGCTCCAGGCTGAGCTCATACACGCTCCGCCCACTCTTCTTCTTTCCTTCCCTTTTTCTTCCTCTTAGTGCTTGTTTTCCTCCTTCTTTTTCTCCCCCTTCGACTCCTGACCTCCGACGATGACTACCAGCCTGCAGCAACCTCCAGCGAGGAGTGTCAAATTCTGGCATCTGGCAACGATTCACATCTTCCGGCAAACAACCATTCCTGGCCTCCGGCAACGACGCCCAGCCTGGCGCTGCTGCCTCCTTCTGTAGGGGCCTCCCGGCGTGGCGTGGTGACCTCTGAGCCTGGTGCACAGGCCTCCCACAGCGGCTTCCCAGTAAGGCATGTCACTGGCGCAGTGTACAGCCAGGGCCGGTGCTGACTGAAAGCAAAGTGCCAGCGCAATCTGCTGTACTGAACTCTTTTCTGTAATGCTGAACATTTTATCTCTGTATTGGCTAATATCTTGTAACAAAAGAAGCTGTGCCTAGGTACTTTTATATCTAAGTCGGTACTGTAATTGGTGACATATAAACTTTTCACTATACTCCTTGAGTATATGTGACAATAAAGGCTATTCTGTTCTATGCTATTGTGTTTTCTTACTTAAAAACTAAAAACAATTGAAATGTTGCCTGAAAGTTGCGTTTCCCACCCCTCCCCCCCATTTTGAATTAGAATTTGCCCTGCCTCACCCACAACACCACCAACCCTCCACACAAACCCAACTTCACTGAGAAGCCAAGCAACAAGAACTTGAATTCCATATGATTATAATCCAGCCTATTTAAAAGTGCCAAGGTAAATTGTAACACGAATATGTTTGCATGCATCACAAATTTACCACTGTGCTGTGAAATCCACAAAATCCTTGGAGAAGCGGTCTGCAGGTAATTGCGGGGAAGGTTCTTCCACAACTTGCTTTAACTGTTGAAATGGTGTTCCCCAGGATTCATACGGAAACCGTAGGATTGCTAATTCAATCTGCAACATTAAGAATAAAACTCCATTTTAAGAATATACATCTATGATAATTAACTGCAGAAAAAAAGAATACAGTGGTGATCATAGAATCCCTAGTGTGGAAACAGGCCCTTCAACCCAACAAGTCCACTGACCCTCAGAGCATCCCACCCAGACCCATCCCTATAACGTACCTAATCTATACATCCATGAACACTACAGGCAATTTAGCATGGCCAATCCACCTAGCCTGCACATCTTTGGACGGTGGGAGGAAACCCATGCAGACATGGGCAGAATGTGCAAACGCCACACAGACAGTCGCCCGAGGGTGGAATCGAACCTGGGTCCCTGCGTTGTGAGGCAGCAGTGCTAACGACTGAGCCATCGTGCTGCCGCTAAACTCTGGGGATTTGTACTACCAGCAAATATGTACACAGGACTGGTACATTTATGAGCTACAGTTACAGCTGTCTCATTGTACCCAGGCCTGATAGAAAATTCCCACAAGATCAGGGCTAACACTCCAGTTCCCTTCAGGAATGAATACTGCACTATTAAAATACTGACTTTTGGATAAAACTATAAGATGCAGGAGCAAACATAGGCCATTCAGCCTGCTCTGCCATACAATTAGGTCATGGCTGCTCTGATAACGCGTAACTCCTCTTTCCTGCCTTTCCCCATAAGCCTTGATTCCCTTACTAATTAGAAATCTGTCCATCTCAGCATGGACACACTTAATGAACCAGCCTCAACAGCCCTCTGCAGTAAGGAATTCCACAGACTGAATACACTCAGAAGACATTCCTCCTCATCTCTATCTTAAATGGGCAACCCCCCATTTTGAGATTATGCCTCTGAACCTAGACTCTCTCACAAGAAAAACAATCTTTCCGCAATTATCGTGCCAAGTCCCCTAAGAATCTTGTCTGTTTCAGTAAGGTCTCCTCACATTCTTCTAAACTTTCCAATTAGTACAGGTACAACCTGTTCAACCTTTTCTCATAAGACAGTTCCTCCACATTCGGGATCAATCTAGAGAACCTTCTCTGGACTGCCTCCAAATGTCTGTACATCTTTTCTTAAATGAGGGGACCAAAAACTGCACAGTATCCTAGCTGTGACTTCCCTATTGCTAAACTCTATTCCTAAACTCTACTTGAAATAAAGGCCGACATTGCCTTCCTTAATACCTGCTGAACCTAGAGGCTACCTTATGATTTGTGCCCAAGGATTCCCAAATCCCTCTGTGCTGTTGCTTTCTGCAGTATTTTTCTACCATTTAAAAAAAATATTCAGCTCCTCTATTCTTCCAACTAAAATGCATGAATGCACAATTCCCACATTATATTCTGCCTGCCAATTTTTTGCCTACTCATTTAACGTGTTCATATCCTTCTATAGACTTTGTGTCATCCTCAGAATTTATCTTCTGACCCATTTTTAAGACATCCAAAAACTTGGCAATGGTACAATCACTTTCTTCATCCAAGCCATTAATATATATTGCAAATAACTGCAGTTCCAGGACTGATCCCAGTGGCAACTCCACTAGTTATTAGGTTGTCATCCTAAAAATATCTCCCTTATCCCAATTCTCTATTAATTAGCCAATCCTCTTTCCATACTAATAAACTACCTTCAACACCATGGGCTCTTATCTTATTAAGCAGCCTAACAGGTCGTCAAATGCCTTTTGAAAATCCAGATATATTACATCCATTGCTTCCCTTTTATCTATCTTGCTTGTTTACCTCCTCAAAGAATTCAAACGAATTTGATGGGCACGATTTCCCCTTTGTAAAGGCTTGCTGACTCTGCTTGATCAGGTCATGTATTTCTATATGCTCTGCAATTACATCATTCATAACAGACTCGAACATGTTCAAATTAACTACCATTAAGCTTCATAGAATCCCTACAGTGTGGAAACAGGCTCTTCGACCCAACAAGTCGACACTGACCCTCAGAGCATCCCACCCAGACCCATCCCCTAATCTACACATCGCTGAACAGTACAGGCAATTTAGCACGGCCAGTCCACCTAGCCTGCACATCCTTGGACTGTGCGAGGAAACCCACGCAGACACAAGGAGAATGTGTAAACTCTACACAGACAGTCGCCAGAGAATGGAATTGAACTTGGGTCCCTGGCACTGTGAGGCAGCAGTGCTAACCACTGAGCCACCGTGCTGTCCGCCAAAAGCTAACTGGCCTAGAGCGTTACTTTTTTTTTGTCGCTTGCCTTCTTTAAATAAAAAGAAAAAGGTGTTACAGTGGGGAGTTTTCCAATCCTCCAATCCATGTTCAATGAAACATTAAATCAAGGCCCCAGTTAAATCAAGGCCCCTCTTAAGTAGATGTAAAAGATTCCATGTCACAAAACCAAAAAAGGAGGGCAGGAGAGTTATCCTGGCTGACACGGATTCCCCAGACAGCATTATAAAAATATCCTCATTATCCCACAACTGATTGTAAGGGCTCACAATGAATAATTTGACTATTACATTTTCTACGTTACAACAATGACTACATTCCAAGGATATTTAAATGCTTTTAAAGCACTTTTTGGCACTCAATGTTCATGAAAGGCACTAATAAACGCATATCTTTCTTTTTAGATTTTACTAATGTGGAAATGATCCTTTCTTTATAATACCTAAGTGTTCAAAAAACCAAGGCTGATCAGGAAGAACCAGAATGTGAAAGCATGTTGACCACACAGGGGATTTACATTTTTCTAGCCTGTTATTCCATCTTTTGTCTCTCCTGCTTGAAAACAGATATCAGCCAATATTGAAATACAATTCCACTTACACTAGCCCTCCTATAACCAACATGAATGGCTTTTCTTAACATCTGTATCTAAGTTTATTATTAGCATTATTATTATTATTATTATTAGAGATTATTAGCAGTCTGGTCAATTACAAACTAGCCAGTTTTTAACTCAATCATCATTATATAACAGGTGGAATTATATATAAAAACAAGTAGAACAGGAAATGTTTAGCAGATTTGGCAGCATCATGAAGAAAGAAAAAGAGGAACAGAATTTAACATTTTGACTCAAACATGACTCGTTTCTAGGTTCTGAAATAGTTATATTAACTCGGTTTCTCTCTCCATGGATACAGCCAGACATGCTGAATATTCCCAACACTTTGTCTTTATTCAGTATTTCCAGAACTTCCACAGTATTTTGTTTATATTATAGGAGACTAAGGAAGTAAGAATCCTTACTTTTCCACTTGACAGAATAGTGAAATTGCTCTGATTGATTCGGGAGTTGGGGAGTGGAGTAGAAATTAAAATTCCAAATGCCAGTGGCAGGCATGGAAAACACATTTGATTTGATTTTGTTGTTGTGGAAACTTTTCATAGGTGAAACCCACCATCAGCTGACAAAGTTGGTGTGATCGAGGTGTTGAAGGTGAACCAAAAATATTCTATGAAGACTCTTCCACAAACACCCTGAAACGGGCACACATTTGGACAATGTGACACCACTTTTTAGGTCTCTCATTTTCCTCTTAACTTCACCAACTGTTCCCATCACCTCACCCAGGATAACAAGCCCTTCCCACTTCAGTCTTCCATGCTCCCGACCCGACCCTTTCCCAATCTTCCATGCCCTGACCCCAATCATAACCCTCCTCACCACTGACTCATGCAGGACTGTAATTCCCTGTAACCTTCCCATGTGCTCGAGTTAAAAAGAGAAAAATTGCTGACCTTATACATAATATTACAAAGCCAAAAGTTGCATGCCACCTTTAAATGATCGTGAACTGGGTATTACTGACTTTATCCCAAGGGTAGGATTTTATTAAAAATTGTTTCACACTAATGAATATTCATAGAATCGTGACAATACTGTGGCTTTAAGAGGTGTGTTTGTCCTGCTTTCTTTTAGAGAGAGATTGGGGGCACAGGTGCCGAGCAGTCTATGAGATGATGAACAGCTTGTGAAGCCTTGGCTGCTTTTTTTTTTTTAAAAATGTTGGAACAACAGAAGCACCCTGAATAAGTGTGGTCAAGCTCCCATCCACAGAACCAGGGATTTTAGGTTTAGTTTCCAGCAATTGTTGCTGGGTTCTTTTTTTTTTCCCTTTATTCATTCATGGGATGAGGGCATCGCTGACCAGGCAGCATTTACTGCCCATCCCTAATTGCCTAATGGGCAGTTCAGAGTCAACCACTGTGGGTCTGGAGTCACGTGTAGGCCAGACCAGGTAAGGATAGCAGTTTCCTTCCCTAAAGGACATTAGGTGAACCAGATGGGTTTTTCCAACAATCGACAATGGATTCACAGTCATCACTAGATTGTTAATTCCAAATATTTATTGAATTCAAATTCCACCGTTTGCCATGGGGGTTCAAAGGCAGGGTCGGTAGGCAGTGAATCTCTCCTGGCTGCTACACTCTAAGTTTGCTCTGTATGTTTTCCCTCCTGGGCTGCCGGTGTTGCATGCAAGACAATTCTGTTTTCTGAATTTGCCTTTTGCCAAGGAGGTGTTTATGGCATGTTACTGTATTGAAACAGTTACAGTTTAATAATAAAATAATCTATTATTCTGTTAAATTTTTCAATAGCATTGTTATTCTAAGTTCTCCTTTCTTTCGTTGTATTTTAACTACAGTGTTTGAATGAAATTGTGTTTGCTTAATGTCGAATAGTTTGACCAATTGAATTGTATCTGGAAAACAGCACCCCAAATTTATTTTTAAATAAGAGAAAGCTAGGGTTAGGCTAACTCCTCAATATATTTTGAGGGGGTCTGGTCTGGTCCATAACAGAATGCAAATATAGCAAAAGTACGAATCTGCCACAGGCCAGGGTAATTTAGCACACACTATATCTCGGGATCTTAAACCACCGTTAGGAAAAAGAAATTGCGCATTCTGCAAAATTGTAGCCACCCTACAGATTACATTTCCCACCCAAGTGAGCTCCATAAAATTCCTCCAAACTGAAAATTCAACTTCCAAGTTGGTCTAAGGAGTGTAAACCCCAAAAATCTTTCCATTAACGTTAAACCAGCCGACTTCATTACATACCATTGTGATGCCTAAACTCCAGACATCAGATTTCACATTGTATCCTTTCTGGTTCAGATCTGGGTTAATCCTCTCGGGCTGTAAAACAAAATAAACTTATGATATAATCAACTGGCAGCAGCATTTATGGTCCAAATAGCCCTACCACTGAAAAAGGAAGTGCACAAAAAAGCACTGCAGAACCATTAAAGCTCAACTCTGATTGAAGATGTAAATTCCAATAGGATTGACTTCTACTTCTGAAGATATTATAACTTAAAATTTTCCCTTCTCACTCCTGGTTTCCTAGAACCTACATGCCATTTTACATTGGCAGCAGCAAACCACTTATGTTGAGCTATAAGCCAATAACATTTCCCCTTAAATAAAACAAAGAACTGCAGATGTTGGAGATCTGAAACAAAAACAGAAAAAAGGAGAAACTCAGGAGGCTGGGCAGCATCTGTGGAGAGAGGAAGAAGGGAGATAATGTTTGGAGTAATGACTCATCAGAACATTACCTCTTGCACAGCAATCACTGCATCTCAAGATGCACTCACTGAAAACAGCAAGGTTATTTAAACATGGTTCAGATCGTGCTCACTACTTGAAATCAGAAGGTTGCAGTTTAAGTCCCATTGTAGAACCTTACACCCAGGACCTATTTGATCAGCTGGTGCAGTACGGAGGGACTCGGGTGTTGTTTTTCCGACATAAGGTGTTAAACAGAGACCCCAACTACTTTATCAGGTGGACGCAAAGATCTCAATACACATTTTTGGAGAAGGACAAGGGAGCTCTTCCCCCCCACCCCTCCACCATCAACACCATCCTGGTCAATATTTAACCCACAACCAACATCACCAATCTAGTGCTGGTCACACTGATGTCTGTTGGATCTTGATCACTGTTTAATTCCTTACTTTACTGTGCTTTTTATGTATAGTCACTGTTGTAAAGTGTTTTGGGGTTTGAAAGGTCTGAACGATAGTTTTGTTTCCCCTAACTGATTTTCAGTTGAAGAGATACAAAGTAGTCAAATTACACAGAGGTGTTCCATTGATCTTTCCCTGTTCTAAGGTACAAGCTGTGCCAAAATGGGACCAGTGTGGGATATTGAAAATTTACATTTGGTATGGCACAGGGATCTCCTACAAAGATTGGGGCAAGAGCACACTGCTCAGACAGCATAGGTTTACTTTTACTATACTTGAACTGACCATTTGATGGTTAGCTGAAAAGGTATTCCATTGACAACAACATCACCAGCAAATGCCTGAATACAAATATTCACTGTGACAAACACGCAACAATCTAGGCTGATATAAATATTAGCGGACAAGAGAGACTCGATTCTAAATTTGCACTCACAGCCATGTATGGTTTGCATCCAGCATCCATTGTTTTGGCAACCGAGTCTACCAAGTATCCACTAATGCCAAAGTCGCACATTTTCACATGACCTTCTTTGTTGATGAGAACATTGGAAGGTTTTACATCTGTGAAAGATCACAAGAATTAAACATCAGTTACACTGATCATTATTTCAGTAGCACTATGTCCCACTGAGAAGAGGTGGCAAGGAAGAAAGTCAAATTAAAGTTGAGCAAATAAGAAAATTGAAATTTGAAAGTGTGGGTCAAATCGCAGAGCTATTTAACATCATAAGAATATGTTGTCTCCCGATTATTGTTTACCGATAATCAGAGTAGATATTGGCATACTCCACAACCCAGAGTACAAGGCCCAATTTTAGGGGTGTTTGATGTACCAAAGCACAATATTTAAATGTAAAAAAACAGAAACAATAGCAAGATGCATCATTCTTGAAATATCACAGATACTTTTGCTAATTCTATACATTTTTTGCGTTTTGTTTGATAGTAGCAGTTTATCTACTTAGATGACTGATTCCCATTCTTTATTACAGGTTCATCATGCTACAAAGCCAGAAACTAAAGGCAACAATCAGTGATGCAGTACATCGAGCCTTTGCATCTATGCATCCTGCTCGGATTTCCTGCTCCAGCATTAAACGTTGGTTTTGAAACAGAAACCCAAATTATAAAATCAACAAAATTATTTTTTAATATTAACAACTAAGATTCAAGATATGGGATATTCCAGCTTTAGCTGGTCTTAATGTCTCAAAGTATTCACTAACACTGTCCCTTCAACTTCAGGGAATAGGTGAAAAAGGTATAAAGTTACATTGATCAATATGTTGTTGCTTCTTTGCTTGGTAACACCGGGAGACACCCGTCTTAGGACAGATTCTATCCCACATCAATAGAGTCAAAATGTCAATGTAGACCACCTTAATACACCAAACTGATAATCGCAAGACAGTAGGGAGATACCAGGATACAATTTGTGGTTATAAGGCTCCAGAGAGAAGAAAACTAAACAATCACTGCAGGATTCATTCAAAATCTTTTAATTAAAAAGTTCCAAATTAATGAAAATCTATTTACTGCAGAAGCACCTTGCTGCCACCTGTTGTGAATATTTTTGTTCTTTAACTTGAACATTGCAATCATCATTAGTGCCTGTCTAAAGTGGCAGCACTCACCTCTGTGAATCACGGACAGCTTGCTATGCAGGTGCTCTAATGCCTTCACAATCTACAAAGAGGAAAAAAAAAGACAAAAACAAACCTTCAATGACTTTCCATACATACTGCAATTCTGTTATTAATACTACACAGACTTGAATACCTTGTAAAAATACAGAAAATTTGTTAAATACAACATTATAAACTGATGAATGATCTGGCAAAGGTTCACTATTTCAAACATGCATCCACTGCTCCTCTTTTGAGGTCCTGATAGATCTGCTGCATATTTCAACAGTTTCTGGCTCATCTAAAATGTTTAGCCTTGCAGTTTTTCACTCTTTCAATCCCTTAAACATTTCATTCCATATTAAAAAGGTGCCACTTTTGTTAGCAAAGGGTAATTACAGGCATGCTGCATTTTCACCACAAAGCAAGTGATGGCATGGCACTCAACCAGAGAAAACATACATCATTGCATTGCAGAACATATGGAATACATCTTTCATTTTTGTCAGCAATAAATTAGGTAATTTGCTGAGTGACTTAGTTTTTCTTCTGTAAAATGTTGTCTTGCACCTGATTTTCATGATATCAGGTAGCTGATATGTTAAAATGTGCATCTCGTTACCTGGACAATCGGGGCAGACAAAACGGACTAGCACTAAGTAAAGCAGAATAATGCTAGTTAAGGGCATACATAACTGAGGAAAAGGTGATTTGTGGATTTTGTTGCACTAAATAGAAGTAATATAGAAGGGTAAGTAAACAACAAAACAAAAAAAGAGGGAATATCTAATTTAGAGCAATAGTGTAAAAAAGGTGATAGCGAACTGGCATTTTCTATGCCTCTTAAGTCACTGGAAGAGTTGCAAAACTGGCTGTAGAATCCCATACAAAATTTGTTCTTATGTGAAGAAATCTGCTTGCTGTTTTCATAATGAAGAAGCTAATGGGTTTAATAGCCTATAAACCTGCTTTTGAATGCTTGACATGTGAAATGACACATTCTATGAATTTTGCAGGAAGAAAATGACCAATATTCTATTTGCATTTTCAAAAATTCAAACAAGCACAAGCAGGTCTATTTCAAATGTAGTTTCATGTACCTCATTTCTTTGCAGTCTTAAAATAGCATGTGACATAGTCACAATATACCGCTGGCTATGCAAGCTGAAGTCAGATGAACACTGCTGCAATTCCCAGTGTGTTGGCAGACTTACTCTTTCATACATGCATTTAAAGCTGTCACAAATTAATAGCTGATTCCCAAAATGGTCTAACACACAAAAAACAAATGCAGAACCTGGCTGTCATTTTGTCATTCAGCAGAGCCCAATATACCCAAGCTACTTTGTGCTAGAATTCACAGATTACACCTCTGAGCACTCTGATTTGATCCATTCTGGATCTAGAAATTATCCAATTACAGTGTGTAAATTAATGTGAACCAGCATTTCTTTGACACGATTTAATATGAAGGGATCCGTGCAAAACAGCACTTTTTCCACAGGGAAGTAACAATCACAGTCAAAACAATTACATGTTATGTAACTACTGAGATAGTCAGCTTAATTGGTTAGAAAGTGGCACTAAGAATTAGAGAAAATAAGATCTTTCCCTTTGTGCTGGTTCTGCCACTCAACAAGATCATCTTAGAACATAGAACATAGAACAGTAGAGCATAGTACCGGCCCTTCAGCCCACGATGTTGTGCCGAACTTTTACCCTAATCCTAAGGTCTATCTAATCTCCACCCCTACCTAATACTATCATCCGTATGCCTATCTAATAGCCGCTTAAATGCCCCTAATGAGGCCGACTCCACTACCCTCTCCGGCAATGCATTCCACACCCCGACCACTCTCTGAATAAAGAACCTACCTCTGACGTCTCACCTATATCTACCTCCACTCACTTTAAAACTATGCCCCCTCGTAATAGCTAACTCCACCCTAGGAAAAAGTCTCTGGCTGTCTACTCTATCTATAACTCTGATCATTTTGTACACCTCTATCAAGTCACCTCTCATCCTTCGTTGATCTAAAGAGAAAAGCCCTAGCTCTCACCTTCAATGTTAACATCATCTCCTGCACTACCCCATGTCTCTTATTCTTTTAAAGAGCCACATTTTTATAATCACACTCTTGATAACATTCAATGACTGAATGGTCACTGGTTTCCAAAAGATTCACAGCCTTTTGAGTGATGAAATGTCTTTTGTATCTTTGTTATCAATGGTCCACCCCAAATGCTGATAGTATGATCCCATGTTCTACTGTTGCCAGCCAAGGAAACATTTTCTCAGCATCCAGAACTTTGAATGTTACAATAGGATTCTCCCTCTTATTCTACCATAAAGCAGGGAATACAAGCTGAATCCACTCAACCTCTCCTCAACAGTCAATCCTTCCTTCCAACAGCAGTCTAATAAATGTTGGCTAATGGTTGTATGACTTCTGCAGTGTGTCAACATCAAATCTGAAATTGAGCCATACCTACAGGAAAGGCTGATGATCCTACTGCAGTATTCCAGCCCCCACCCTCCTTGTGATGCTGGAATGGTCCACTCCCCAGTTGTTTTCCAGCTTGACAGACAGACAGCCTGGGATGCCTGCCGAGATGATTTAAAACAAATCCTGCTATTAAATTCAGCCGAATTTGCAAAAAATCTTTACTTACGGATAAACTTGCTGCAAATCATCTTCACCTCTTGCAGCTCTGTTCCTAGCTTCACAATATTATCGGACTAGACTAGTCCAAAATTAAATTTTAAAAAATCCCTTCCTCACCTGCAATGTTCTTGCATTAGGAAAACACAGATTGCACATCTAATATTCTGAATGGGCCAGGTAGAAACTTTGAAATATGCCAACACAAAACATTATTCTTTGATGCCTGGCTGGTCTATTTTAGTTAAGAAAAGTAGAACTGGGTGTTCTATTCCCTAGTACTAGATCAACAGAATTTATTGTTAAAAATTAGCTTTAGAAGATGCAAGAAAAAGCAAAACTGCTCACCGTACACTGATCCAAAAGCATTGAGGAACTCGCGTGTCACAGATTACCAGACAATGCAAACAATACAGGCATTTATTGATTCATATGTGAAGCATCCTCAACACAGGTGTATTTATTTAACCTTATTTAACCTTATTAAACCAAAACAGATGAGCTAGTTACTGGAGAAAAATGCATTGAACATCTTGGCAAGTAGCATTTTTTAAGTTTACCAAAAATCCAGCAACGTGGACTTGGAGACCAGGGTTGTCCTTTTTTTTTTTCAATTCTTCTCTCACTTAGGGGCCCAGAGAGCAAATTTCCAAAAGTTTAGGTTTTTACAAAGAGTAAATTTGAATTTCAGACAGAAAATGAAAGCAATAAATTGATTACATTTTTTGCCTATTTGGTTTTAAAAAAATACAGAGCTAAAGACTGAAAAAGAATTAACATCAGGTTCTGATCACCAAGGAAGGGGGTCGGGAAGGAGCTGAGCCAAGGAGTTGGATTTAACTAAAACAAATTTTGGTTCATCTGTAGTGGGGCACACTCTGAGCTGGCCTCAGTAGAATTCATATGGAAGTCACAAAATCACTTATGGCATTGAAGGAGGCCACCAGCTGATTGCTTTAACTCTATCCTAGCTCTCTAGGGAAAAAGCCAGTTTGTTTCAAGCCCCATCACTGGATCTTCATAGTTCTGCATGTTTGTTTCCTATCAATTTCTTTTTAAAATCATTGATCATCCCTGCTTCAAACACATTTGTGGTCAGCAAGTTCCAAGTCATTTCCAATCAGTGCAAAAAAGTTATTGCTTACATTCCTCCTTCCCAAAGCCTTAAATTGGTCTCCACTAGTCCTGCACAGCAGATACTGAACTGGGGAGTCAGAAGTGCCTGTATTTACCTACTCTCCCAGTATACTTTTGTGGGTTAAGGTATTAGGAAGAGGCAGAAAATGGGGTGGAGGACAGGTTGAGAGAGTCAGAAGGAATGTTGTCTGAAAGGGACTGGAGCGTTATTCAGCTCAGTCCTATTCTCACGGATATCTAACCAGCTCCCTCATTCTCCACATATTAAGTCACCTTCAAACTTACTAACCAATAACCAATCCCCCCTACATTCCATGTCAGTCACTCATCCAAGCCCCACTCACCATGCAGTCTCCAATAACTCTTATTCATTCCTTTCACCACCACCTTCGCAACCTAGTCCCTACTTCCTCTCAGTAGTCTCTATCATTTCCCCTCTACCGCCAGAGCATCTCAGCTCCTAAGCCCCACAACAGTCTCTTAATCGCCACCCTCCCATCACCGCCACGCAACTCTTATTCCCCTGCTCCCCAAAAAAACGTCTCCCTGAAAGACGATCGTTCCTGGTCCTACAGAGTCTGAGCCACTGACTCCAAGCTTCTTCCCAAGTGAAACCACTGAGATAGTGTACCTTGCTGCTGCTCCAATCACAAACTGTTTCACTCCCGCATTTCTGAACTTATCAGTAGCAAATACAGGAGAGAACCAGTCTCCAGTTACAGAAGCTCCTTGCAAAATCTTCCAGTTATACTGGCTTATTTTTTCAACAAAGGCTTGGCAAGTCACACAGGCCCCTCTGTAGCATGCAGATCACCAGCTGGACAAGCTTTCTCTAGACAGTTTATTATTTGGATAGTTAATTCAGACCCATCAGAGCATCAAACTTACAGACACAGCTATTTTTCCCAAAATGTCTTCTGGGAATGTTCTCCCTTTCTCGATGACTTTTTTGTAAAATTTATCCAGTGAGGTATCCAGTAGTTCCATACATATCCACACATCACCCTGAAATCAGAGAACAAGACCACCATATATCTTAAGATTCTTACATCATCATTGTAGTTTTTGTGCTACAACAAATAAACAACCAATAAGTCTCAAAATGTTATTACAGCAGAGTTTTATGATTCTCCAGCTGACCAAGAACGCAGCTCGATCTTATAGTGTCTTTACTAAGAAAAACATTTTTTTTTTGGAGAGAAAGGCTGAGCTTGGTACTGTCTTCAATAATTTGGAGGAATTAATAATCTGATTCAATTGTATAAAGTTACAAATATCTTTAAACTGCAGTTAACATTTGTGTTTATCATTGAGGGATTAACAAAGAATTTGGGCCTACATTTCAGTGCAGCACTGCACTACTGGAGATGACATCTTTCAGATGAGCCACTCATTCTCTCAGATAGTTGATAAAGATCCCACAGTACCACTTCAAAAAAAAAAAAAAAATAGCAGGCGTCTTCCTCGATTCCCCAATCAATATTTACCTTAAATTAACATTACACGAAACAGCTTAACTGGCCATCACCACCACGTTGGATGCAAAGTGGCTGCCAGATTTCCTATGTTACAATGGTGATTACATTTCAAATGTAGTTCTGCCTGTAAAGCATTTTGAAGCATCCTGCAGTTAAGCTTTCATAGAAATAGGAACTCTCTTCCTTTAAGTTATTAGAGGGTTCTGATGAAGTAAATAAGTAGAAAATTGTTTCCACTCACAGGTAATTGCTAAAAGACACACAGAGGGGAAACGTGTAGATTCAATAGTAGCTTTCAGAAGACAACTAGTTAAATTATCTACAATAGAAACATACAAGGCTTCAGAAAAACAAAAGAGGAGTGGAACTAATTGGATAACTCCAATAGGGTAGTGAATCTGTGGAATTCTTTACCACAGAGCGTGGCTGAGGCTAGGTCTTTAAGTACCTTCAAGACTGAATTAGTAAGGGAATCAAGGGTTATGGGATAAGGCAGGAAAGTGGAGCTGAAAATGGTCAGATCAGCCATGATTTCATCGAATGACAGAGTAGACTCAATGGGTCAAATGGCCTGCTTCTGCTCCTACTCCTACTCCTACAACTTATGACCCAAGGAGCCAGCAGAGGCATGAAGAACCAAAAGGCCTTCTTACGTGTTCTATGATTCTATGATCTTAATATGGCATTAGTTCTTAATATTTCTCTGAAGTCTTTTCATGTGGCATCTGAAGGCAATCTTGGAGAGGAAGAAATAGCTGGAAAAATAAAAACATCATTCTCTTGCATACTGCTAATGAGAAGCTCATATGGAACATTTCATTAGAACAAGTGCAAGTTGCTACAGGAGAGCTACACTGGTTACACTCTTAATTTGTGTAGCTAGTATCAGCTAAACAATTAGCCAAGTGTTACACAGCTTCACGCAGCCAGGCCTCATTCATTCATTGCCTGACTACACCACATTGATGTGGAAGCAGCCAGTCGATAAAATCAAACAGTACTTTAGCCTCATTAGGCCAGTTGTTAATTCATTATCAAGAAAGTAATCCTGAAACAAATCCTAATGCAAGCACAAGAGAGCACATGGTAATGCACCAACTGTTATGAACCGAAGGCATTCATCCAACTGTTCTGATTCATCGACAATTCACTTTCCTGTTCATTTTTCACGATACATCACACAGAAATCTGATACTTGAAATTTATGAAGAGATCTCTGAAATTCATCTTTGATATCAGGAAGTCTCAAGTTTTAATTGAAGATTTGTTAAATTTGCTTCAAAAAGGTCAGTCACCTAGACACGAAGTCCTCGCTCAAGTGTTTTACTTCCTGCAACCAGTGCTCAGGTGTTCTCAACACCAGTTCACATTTGCCATTAGCAAACTCCAATTTCATGTGTCAAAGTTAGGTCTCCACATTGATCAGTTTGTCTTTAGGTTCTCATACTTCGCCACAGTAATTTTAGGGAGTTTGGCAAGATCAGCAGGTTTAAACAACTTCTGCAGCGCAGCTGTCACCATGTTGCCTTCCAAGTGGACAAATCATTACTGAACATAATACCTACCCCCACTGTAACAACTCCATATACTTAGTCATTTCAGAAACCAACTTTATACAAAAGAAACAGAAATGCCATGAATCTCCATTAATAATTTCACTTCCAAACTACCTGGATTACAATTCACATCATCAACCATCAACAAATGACTGAATTGCAGTAGTGCCTTTCAAAGTATTAATTTGTTAATTAGTTTTATGGGAGGAGTAAGGGAGTACTTCACCCTTAGAGACAAAATTCCTATAGCCTCCAGTAGCCTGCCTCACATCAACATTCAACAAAAGGATGCCCTCAACTACCCAGAGCTGCATTTTCTAATAGGTTCTGAAGGAACATGTTTCACATACCAGTAACATGCTTTGACCATTTTGCTTCCAATAATTAGCAGGAAAGCAACATATTTTGTTGCAGTGGAAGCACATGGACTTTTGGGCATTAATCCTACATTTTCCCCTTCTAGTCTGAGAGGGGAGACCCCTTTATGTTCCCAGCTATTCGTGTTCCTTTCACCCTCCCACTTTCTAACTTTCTCCAATTTTATGGGGGTAACAGAAATGGGTTTTCCTTTGGGATAAGGGTTTATGGACAAACTTACCATCACTAGTCATCTCATTTGTTACCTAGCTTTCAAAACCTTTTGGTTCTCCACTTGTGCCCTTGTAGAGAATAGGGAGTGAATTATTAAAATCCTTGAGGATCTCTGAGGTTTTCATAAGTGGCCTTTATTTAATTGGCCACATCGAACAGTCAAAGATAAATGTATTTACTCTCTCAAAACATGCAAGTCTGGTCAGACTTCTGAAGATTTCAACCTTTCTGCCCATAAGCTTCAGGGACCAAATCAAACACAGAGGTTACTCTTTCAAGTTCTCAATCTGCGCAAGTCTCTTCAGAAAGCGTGGCATAATTTCTTTGTGGGCTTTTTCAGTTAGTTAATCCATTTTGCATCTGTAGCATCCAGCTGTTCACAGGCCATTTTATTCATTTTTGCACATTTTTTTCAAATGAAATTAAAAACGTTTCTATGTTCCTCTCCAAATTTTCAGATTGCTTGGAGAAATTTAAACAGCTCCACATTTGTCCTGAATTAGAGGCATTTCTGTCCTGATGTGCACTTTCTCTGGGTTTGCAGATACTCCCCTCTTCGTTCAAGTCCTCTGTTCCAGCTGAATCCTTGGCAAAGATTAAAATGGTCTCATTCCAGTTCTACACTTCCCTCTGGCTCTCTCAATTTGCTTTCCTGGAAACAGTGATGTAGGTTTCAAATTGTCTTTTTAAGAACTTGTGGTGATGCAGTTTTACAATGCATTTACAACTGTCAAACTTTGATGAGAGGGAGTTCAGAAAAAATAAAGAATAGGGGTATAGGCTGTTGCTCCAGGTAGGTCATCCCTGACTTGAATTGTATTTGAATTCAATAGCTTTATTACACTACAAAATGGGTCATGTGAAGTACTGTAATCTCTGACTCCAGTCAAGCAGCTCATATTCTTTGCAAGTGTAACATTTTCCCTGCTGCAGCCAGTCTCCTTTGCTCTGCAAAAGATTTTTCTGCACCCCCCACCCCACAGTCCCAAGATATACCTACTTGTCTAGTCAATGATTTTCTAAATTAATATTTTTGATAACATGTCTTCATAATGCTATTCTAAATTCATCGAATTAAATGCCTAAACTAAAAGTTCCCACTTTTTCTTAAAAACAATATCGCCATGGCCTTCCTATGTCTAAGCTCTGCCAATCCTACGCCTCTCAAAATAAATGCATCATTGAAATTCTGGTCTCTTAATCATTCCTGATGTTAATTCCTCCACACTGGTGAGAAGACAAGTTGGTGGAATTGGTGGCATTGACGGATAGGTGGAGTCCAATGTGGAGAAGTGACAGATGACACATTTGGATAGAAAAAATACAGAGACATTATAAAATGTCAGCTACAACTTTCAAGAGGGTGCAGATGCAGAAGGACCCAGGCCTGTGTGTCCATAAAGTAATTAAAAAGGTGCAGGGTAGCTTGAAATAGTTCAGAAAGCGTACAGAATCCTGGGCTTTGTTCATGGGGGTGTAGAGTGCAATACAGTCAGAGTCAAACAGGACAGAAACAGACCCTTCCATTCAACCAGTCCATGCTGAACATAACCCCAAACTAAACTAGTCCCACCTTCCTGCTCCTGGTCCATATCCCTCCAAACCTTTCCTATTCATGTATCTATCCAAACGTCTTTTACACACTGTAATTGTACCAGAATTCACCACTTGTTCAGGAAGTTCATTCCACACGTGAACCACGCTCTGTAAAAAATTTGTCTAATGTCATTTTTAAATCTCTCTCCTCTCACCTTAAAAACATGCCCCCTAGTCTTGAAATTCCGCATTTTAGGGAAAAGACAACTATCAACTCTATCTATACCTCTCATTATTTTATAAACTTCTATCAGGTCACCTCTCAACCTCCTACGCTCAAGTGAAAGAAGTCCCAGCCTATTCAGCCTTTCTTTACAACTCAAACCTTCCATACCAGGCAACATCCTGGTAAATCTCTTCTGAACCCTCTCCAGCTTGATAATATCCTTCCTATAACTGGGTGACCAGAACTTGACACCGTATTCCAGAAGGCGGCCTCACCAGTGTCCTGTACAACCTCAATGTAACGTCTCAACCCCCACACGCAAAGGACTGAGCAATGAAGGCAAGCGTGCCAAAACATGTTTTTAACCAAACTGTCTATTTGCCATGCAAACTTTAGAGAATTATGTACCTGCACCCCGAGGTCCCTCTGTTCTACAACACTATCCAAGGCCCTACCATTAACTGTACAAGCCCAACCCTTGAGGTTGGTTGGCTCGCCGAGCTGGTTTGTTGTTCTGCAGACGTTTCGTTATCCTGCTGGGTAACATCATCAGTGCAGCCTCCGATGAAGCGTCGGTGTGTTTTCCCGCCTAGTTTTTAAACTCTGGAATCCGTTGAGCTTGATTGCCTCACTTCCGGTTTCCCTTCGTAGTGGAGTGTATATGGGATCGAGTTCTATGCGTTTATTAATAGCATGCTTCGTGGAATGCCACGCTTCTAGGAATTCCCATGCCTGTCTCTGCTTAGCTTGTCCCAGTATTTGGTGCTGTCCCAGGGGAATTGGCAGTTCTCCTTACCCACGTGGGATTATGTTCAGCATGGACTGGTTGAACAGAAGGGTCTGTTTCTCTCCTGTTTGACTCTGACTCCATTGTACTCTACACCCCATATCGACTGGGACAACACCAAAATCCTGGGACAAGCTAGGCAGAGACAGGCACGGGAATTCCTAGAAACCTGGCACTCCACGAAGCATGCTATTAATAAACAGAACTCAACCCCATATACACTCCACTACGGAGGAAAACCAGGAGTGAGGCAATCCAGCTCAACGGACTCCAGAGTTTAAAAACCAGGCGGGAAAACACACCGACGCTTCATCAGAGGCTGCACTGAGGATGTTACGCAGCATGGTAACGAAACGTCTGCGGAACAACAAACCAGCTCGGCGAGCCGACCAACCTCAACAACCACAATCCGAGCTACAAATCTACTCCAAAACCTTAAAGCCCAACCCTCGTTTATTGTTTCAGAACGCAATACCGCGCATTTCTCCACAGTGAAAGCCATCTGCCATTTTTTCAGCCCATTGGCTCATTTCATCGAGATCCCTTTGTAATCTTAGAAAACCATCTTCATTATCTACAACTTTGATGTCATCCGGAAACTTACTAACCATGCCTTCAATAGTCTCATCTAAATCATTTGTATAAATGACAAACAAAAGAGCATCTAGAACCAATCTCTGTGGAACACCACAGGTCACAGGCCTCCAGTCTGAAAAGCAACTCTCCACCATTACTCTGTCTTCTGCCATTAAGCCAATTATGCATCCAATTGGCAAGCTCACTCTGAATCCCATGTGACCTAACTTTACTCATTAGTCTACCCATACAGAACCTTATCAAAGGCTTTACTAAAATCCAAATAAACAAAATCTACTGCTCTGCCATCAACAATCTTTTTGGTAACTTTCTCAAAAAAAAAAAAAAAGAAAATCAAGTTTGTGAGATATGATTTTCCTTGCACAAAACCATGCCAACTGTTCCTAATCAATTTTTACCTCTAAATGTCCATAAATCCTATCTTTTATAATCACCTCCAACAATTTACCCACAACCGAAGTCAGACTCACAGGTCTATAGTTTCCCGGTTTCACCTTACAACCTTTCTTAAACAACAGTACAATATTAGCCACCCTCCAGTCATTAGACACCTCAACCGTAGCTATAGATGATGTAAATATTTCAAGGGGTTTTGTAAATTCCTCCCTTACTTTCCACAACATTCTGGGATACATTAGATCAGGTCCCAGAGTTTTATCCACCTTTATATTCTCTAAAGTCTCCTGAACTTCCTCTTCTTTAATGTGAACTGTTTTTAAAACATCAAAGTTTATTTCTCTGCATTCTTTAGACTCCATTTCTTTCTCCATAGTAAAAACTGACACGAAATATTGATTTAGTATCTCTCCCATCTCCTGGGGTTCAACACAAAGACAAAGACAAAGACAAAGACAAAGACAAAGACAAAGACAAAGACAA